ACTGCCAGATGTAACTGGGTGCAAGAGAAATATAAAGAGGGATTTCATCCTACCATTATCTTTGAGGATCCAACTGATAACAGCATCTTAATGGTGATGACTAAGGATGAAAATAGATCGAGCTACATATGTAAAATTAATTTTAAAGTGGCGTGACCAAAGGGCACGTCTTGCTAAGGGCGTGTTAGGGATAACAAAACATGCTCGTTCGACGTTTTATTTATCTTACAATGTATAGTCAAATTAGGTGGGACCTAGCAGGGTTTAATGCAATTTTAAATAACAGATCTAGTCAGCTCACCCAATATGCAAAATTAATTAAAAAAGTAGTTAAAAATGCTAGTCAAAACTAGTTATTACTACGTGCAGAAAGTCCATACCATTCATTTTAGGTTAGAATAATCAAATACATGGTTAAAAACTTTTGTTAGTACCGGCCAAGTTAGAAAGAAAAATCAAACAAAGAAAGCCAAAAGATCCTAACGATCAATTTCGTTTTAATTTTGTCATCTTCAGGTTTAAACTTGTTATTGCACTATTTTCAGAGTTCTGAACTTTATTGTAAAACATTTTCTACATTTTGTAAACCTAAAAATATCCACAGATGTGATCCTGTACACAAACAGTCAGATTTAGTAATGTTGCACCTTGATGGGATTGCAACCACAGCTGTAAATTAGCATAACAAAAGAGACATCAATAAAAAGGTTGTAACGTTTCACCAAAGAGACTCGATCGCTTCTCTGTAGTAAGTAAGAATCACTAATTACTCGGCAGAGGAAAACTTTCATAATCCACCCTTTTTTGTTCATCTTCGGAAAGGTATGTTTTCTCAACGAATTTGTGCCCAAGATCATGTATCGTGCAAGTTTTCGAGGCAGACCAACTAATACTTATGGCAAAACGATCTCTCATTGTTTTTCACGTAAAACGTTGGTTAAAGACTTCTGAACTAGTAACTTAAATAACGACCGGACATGCTCTCTGTTTGATCCTTCCGTCGGGTTTAAGGCTTTCAGCTAATTTGTCCTCAATTAATCAAACTCTGGAGATTCCACTCGGTCTAAACCCCGTTAGATCCAAGCGAAAAGCAAACTTAAATGGGGTGAAGACAATTATGGTTCACCAGTTGAACCGGGTGTTTTTAAGTTCCACTCCCAGCAGGCCAGAGGAACATCCTGATCACTTGGTTACCAAGTAACGAAAGGCTCAGCGCGAATAATTCTATTCGCAATGTTCGACTCGACTCGACTCAAAACAAAATAGAATGCGAAGAAAACAGTGAAAAGAAACGGTTGGATTATATAATGTGCATTATTCACCGTTTACTCGCTCTTGCGCTATTTTGTGAATTATTTTTCGATTATTTTTCTATGTACTCCAAGGTGATGTTGGAGGGGTACTTAACCCTTATCTGGTTAAGAGGTGCCACCTAGGGTTTGAAATCCTGACCCTGTTTGGGACAGAGAAAAACTAAACTACCTCCCCGAGTAGCTTAACACCTTTAATTCTAGGACCCTTAGAGGATCCTGGCAACCCCATAATTGCTATCATCTAACGCTGGGCACCATTTTCCGATCCTCTCCGATCTGCTGTTTAAACCACATTTAACGATGGAAATGTCTGGGATAGACTAGAAAAAAAATTATAAACCCTATTCAGAGCAGCAAGGCCAAAAAGCCATACCCTATCGGGGAAGGTGGGGGGAAGGGTTGGTGGTCGGGGAGATGTCCAAGTATAGTCCAAATGAGGGAAGACCGCTCCGGTTACGCACTAGCTACTCATCTTTGCACCAGTTTGAGTGCGATATTCTTCTTTTCTCGCATTTTACCCTGCTAGCTTGACCACATATGAAGCCAAGAAATTTTAAATGGGTTACCTTTTGTTCAAAACCAGAGTGCTGGTCTTGATTGCAAACAAACTGAGTGACCTCGTGAAAATCTACGATCGCTACTTCGCTTTTTGTAAATACGATGACCTCGTCATCGCTTAATATACTTAACATTTATCCAGCTACGTATAATTGATGCTTTGGATATTTACAGTTTATTATATCTACAGCTAACATTACTCGTTGCAACACCAATCGCGTTTGTCCAGGTTTATGTTTCATTATTTGCAGGTGAATTATTAAACTGTGAAAACCGTCAACAATTTCATGTTACACAGTCAAAGATATTCTCACACTGTCGTGTTTAAAATACAGCTATTGCAAAACTGTAATAGTACAGTAAGGCAGGCATTTGAAGGGAAGTGAATTAGCTAATCGTACCTGCTGGAATAAAAAAGATAAAGATCCCAAGTAATAAAGTGTTGCTTAGAAAACTGCTATCACTGAACCCTGGAGTCAAACGACAAATTCTCATTACCCGATTTCATACATTTCTTACAACATCGGGTGGGAGAATATGGTTATCTAGATTAGGTCTGTATTGTTTTCGTGACCAGTCGCCATGATTTGAAACCCTGTATGCTTGTCTTGTATTGGTATTTTAAGGAGAAGTCAGCTGCTGATGTCAGGCAGACTAACCAAGGTCCTGACTATATATATCAGACCGGTTTTGCCTTGGTTATTAGTCGCTATGTTCTCAACTCTTACATGTTTGTCTTGTATTGGTATTTTAAGGAGAAGTCGGCCGTTGATATCAGGAAGAGAGCCTAACTAAACTCATTTCCAGATCAAGAAATTTGACATTTACTCTTCTATTCCAGCGTCCATCACTACTTTCTCAAATTAATTGGAGAAGTCAGCTGTTGATATCAGGCACAGGGCCTGATTAAACTTGCTTTCAGATCAAGAGATTTGACATTTAGACTTCAATTCCAGCATCCATCACTCCTGCCTCAGCTATGGGCACAAACTTGACATTAATTTTAACCAAAACAATCGGTCGATCCACATGGCTCCTCCTGGCGGGATCCTTGTGACATGGTGTCCAGCGATGTACCACACACGTGTTTAAGAATGGAACCGCTTCGGATTCAAAATTTCCAACGGAAGTTTTTAAATTAAATAAAGAAATAGCCAAATAAGAGAAATAAGTTAAATAATTAATAATAATGATAATTAACTATTATCAGCTTCGTAAAAACGTTTCTTTAAGGTTCAAATCTGAGTAGAGTACAGCGTGTCCCTACCCCGGGGACAGGTACTCTCCCCAGATTTCCCTCACCGTAAACAAGGCAACAACAGCAAAACAATATTGTGGCAATGGACCACTTCAGCCCCGCGGAAAAATAAGGGACCGTCACGTGATTAAATCGTTAACGAACAACTGGCGGGAATGAATTCGTGGAGATAGCTTGTACATTCCCTCCCGAAATCGCTACTTAAGAGGTTAAAGTTGCGAGCCTTCACTCATTGAAGTTAATGGCTTTTTTTTACGAGTATTCGGAGTAGATACCAGTTTAGTTTTGTTTGTTTTTTCACTCATTTCTCTTTCTTGGTTATTCCTCTATTTAATTCTAGACATTTTTTCTCATAATTATTCTAATATTTGATGTTCCGGGATGTTCGGAAATGTTCCATGTTCCAGCTTTTATCGACTGCTCGCAGTCAATACCCATTGTATCCAGCCACTGCCCCAGAGCGAAACCGCCTGCGTTATGGTGTGTTGCACAATTAATAAAGAGAAACATCACATGAATAAAAAAACTTTAACCTGAAAGAATCAACATTTGACATATAGTTCAAAAAGTCTTGACAATAGTCTACGTTTGCTCTTGTAAACTTATGTGTTATATTTCTGCTGATCCGCTTCGATTCCAAATCCATTTTCCCTCTGATTGCGCGGTTAATAGCGGTTTAAATACCACTTAGAAAATTCCCATGTAGATGAAGTTGTTCTTTGATGTTTTGGACAATGTGGAACGTTTTATGGTTTTCATAGTTTCTATCAGCTGAAGATCTCCGGTACCTGATCTCAATGGATTCCCCGAGTTTCTTTTTTTGGGACTAACCGTCCTAATAAAGGATTGGAGCGGATAGCATACTATTCGCGACGGTCCCTTTCACGCTCGCTGAATAAGAGATTGAGAAATGCTCTACGACCAGAAGTTGAACGTGTTAGTATAAAAGACCTGAAACAATTGCCAATACTCAAAAGCGAACCCAAAAGCTAAACTAGCAAATCCTAGCCACCCAAACCTTATAAGGGCTATGCAATTGTAAGGGAAGAGGGTGTGAATAAAATATCCAAAAGCTGCCAGCCTTTGAGTGGTCCTTAGTTTATAATGAAGACGCTAAACAAGTTTTGATTTTGGTTTTGACATAAAGCGCTGGATTAAGATATTCTACACGAACACAGAAAGTGCGGTACAAAACAATGCCTTTATTACCAGTTGATTTAAACCGTCAAAAGGAGTTCGACAAGGTTGCCCCCTCTCCCCTTGTTCATTCTTTCTGCGGAGATACACTTACGTCAGGATTCCAAAGTGAGAGGAATAAAAATCTTCGGTAAGGAAATCAAGTTTCCTCAATTCGCTGATGATACTACTCTGTTCAACGCCGACTTAGAATCTTTAGAAATGTCCTTGAAAATTGTTGGGGATTTCGGAAGAATTGCATGATGATCAGTCCCTAAGTGTAAAAAAAAAAAAAAGAAAAAAAAAACGAAGCGCTTTGGTTAGGGAAATGGAAAAGCAATAGAAATAGGCCTCTAGATTTAAGATGGTTCCACAGCCCTATTAGGATATTGGGGATATATTTTTCATATAATATTAAGAGTGCCTACCTGTAAAAATCAGACAAATTCTTAATTTCCCGGCAAGGGTCGAAAATTCGATTTCGCTCATATTCTTATGGTAGATAGGCTA